AGTCTGCTTTGAAATGGGACCAGTTCAGCATGTGCTAGACAGGGCTTGCGCTGGTATTCTACTGACTCCTTAAGTAAACAAGAGGCTTTATATTATTTTAATTGAAAGTCAATATGCGGTAAAAAATCTTACTCGTCTTACTTAAAAGTTATCTGGTCCACATTACTAATTCTCAATCTGAAAGTAGCACGGATAGCTCAGCAAAAACAAGATTCCTTCATAAATTAGAAGTAATGTAACAAGCTATTACAGTAAAACATAAGCATTTTTATAAAAATACGTGACAAAGAAACATAGTTAACTTGCTCATATTTGTGTGGGACTCCCTCAGTGAAACTAGTAAGAATCCAATCTTGTCGTCGTAATCTTAGCGACCTGTTGCTATTTACTTTTATAACTCACACGACGCAAGTTATCAAAACAATTTACTGAGACACTCTGGCTAATAACTTTCCTTTATTAATGTTATATTTATCTTCATATATTTTCGCCTAAAGTCTTACAGTTACATACAAACTTGTGAAGGTTTATTTCTCTAAGGGACGGACAGATTGCCAGATTTAGTTTCTAGTTCTAGTTCTGTTGAAACTTGTAGTATTCTAATGAGGGGCAAAGTTATTTTGTATGCCTATATTATGTACTGCGTATATTTTTTTACGAATAGTTAATACAAATGTATTTCTACTTAACACATTGAGCGCCATCGGGGACAAAATCTATAGGATACATTAGTGAATATTCGTTCTCAAGACTTTTCTGTCAGTAGTCAAAGTCTTAAGGAATATTCAGTGGTCGCGTCATCATCATCGGCATCAACAATAGCCCATAAATGCCCACTATTGAGCAAAGCCTCTTCTCACATGGAAAAGGTTTGAGTATTAATCACCACGCTTGCTCGTTGCGGGTTGGCGATTTGAAACTTATTAGAAATTTCAGGTCACCTGGTTTCCTCACGATGTTTTCTTTTACCGTTTGTCAATGGTGTCTAAATAATCTTAGAAAGTACACACATATAACTCGAAAAATGTCACATTGGTACTTGCTGTTGGTAGGTATCGAATCAACACTCTCCTCATGCATGAGAAGCAGGCGTCTTAACCTCTGGGCCTCCATGGCAACTTGGCTGATTACATATTATATTGATTCTCAAGCTTTAACACCTCTGCTAATGACTAGGACTTCGAAACCAAATGTTCATGCTCGATAATCGCTCTTCTTACCACTAAACTTATAACACAATCTCTTTATAATTCATGCCCTCTGAAGACAAAGGGTACTGCCGAAATGAATTGAAACTACTCAAACATTGTAGGACAGTCGACAGCTTATCCCGAGACTAACGACCTCTTATTATGCATGGGGATAACCCATTATCTGCTACTGCCGGTAATACGGTACACTACTATTGTAACGTTTATACGATATGTTGCCCATCAATGGTTATGACGTCATTGTTTAAATAGTTTAGGAATTATGATGTGATGTTAGGCGTAAGGTTGTGGAGATTTATCTACATAAATTGTGTACAGTAGTTTGTTTGTCAAGGCATTATAAATGGTCTCAAAAACTGACGGCAATGCCTAATGGTCTGGCTGATCAAGAATATTTTTCATCGCATTTCCAATCTATCATATTTTTGGCGGTCCAAAGTCTAAAAGTATACTTATAGATTAATGTTGAGTTCAGAATCATCAATATTCTATTATTAAATTAGCTGGTGCACGCGACGTCGTCCACGTAGAATATTAATTTTAGGATATAACTTTTTATGTTTCAATTTTCCAATATAAACGTTGCCTATAAAAGCTAGCTACCTGCCAATAAAAGTCTCACAAAATGGGTCCAGCCATTCCAGAGATTAGACAGTAAAAACAGACTGACAAGCAAAAAATGTAAACAATGTTATTTTGGTAGGTGTATATCGTAATGTATATTCGTTATTTTAATATTACAAACAGACACTCAAATTCCATTTATCTGTATAGATATTCTACTCTTTCAGTTAAATTTAATAGTTTTCGATCAATAACATTACGAACAAGTTCAGTCCTTTTTCGTGATATCAATGAAATTAATTTTTGACTTATCATAAGTAAGTTTTAGAACACCAGTAGTTCAATGAGTTTATAACCATATTATCAGAAGCCAAGTAGGTATTCAATAATATATCGAAATTGATTATGACTTCGTAAAACTGTCACAAAATTTTAAACGGCCGTAAATCGGGGACGGTTTATGGCCGGAGAGTTGGAACTCGGCCAAGACATATTGCAAGTTTTCATTATTTACGTCAATGCGCATTTACCGGTGTGATTTGCGCTTTCTTATCGAGAACTGCACAAGTTACTGTTAAAATTTTACTAAAGTCTTCGCCTTAGAATTTGAGATATTCTAGTAGTTCTTAAAATGTTAGAATTTTATTGAAAAATGTCGATGAAATGTCGATATATTTCATGGAAACATCTTGTAAATATTTCTGCCTCCAACAGGCTGACACAAACAATTTTGTATGTCTAATGTTAAAGGTCACGTGACCAGTGTTATTAAGAGCTGGACTGGACTAACGTTGGGCTGCGGGGAGACTCGTCTCAGATAAGACGATTACTGAAATACTAGTGGAACATTACAACATTTGCTTTGAAGAAGGTTCACTATCTTCAACCCCATATTTGCTTGTTCTGGTGTCTAGTATTTAAGAGTAATATTTGCTTCTTTTTACACCTACGATTATCTTTTGTAGAAGTTTAAAAGTAGATTGTAAGATTAATGGTGTAAAAAATATTAATTCTCCGATTAATTCACAGAAATTACACTCTTAAACGCAAACTAAACTACACTGAATATGTATGGCAACTGAACCTTCTGTCACACAACTGCATAGTGACGTCACACGGAATGAAGCAATGTGTTGCCAGTTACCAGTGAACTGAAATTACTGGAGCGAATTCATATCATGAGGAACGTCACATAACGAAATAGTTAAATAATTGTTTTATTGTTCTGCTTACCTTGTTATTGTTTGTTTATTCACACGACATGAACTGGAAGTCAGAGTGCAAGCTTCCAGTGACATGGATAATTTTCTCTGATAAACGGGAACATATTTTTCACTCTTTAAATATCTGTGAGTGTTTGACTACAGTATTTCTGATTAACTACGATCTCCAACAAACCATGAATTTCCATGAATTGACAAATATACAAATACCGAAGAGGATTTCTCTTACCCAGTAAATAAAGTAAATGAAACATACGAAGCCATACACTTACCCTTCTAAAATAAGTTTCCACAAAATTACTGATAAATCAGAGTTTCTTTCCGAAAGTTCGTGGAAGGAGCTGTACCTGGGTAAGTGAGGTTTAATGAAGGAAATTGACGCAGCGTCCTTATCAAGTGGAGTGAAATGGACAGCCCTACATCTGTGTATTAAGTATGGCCTCCTTTTTATTTTCCGCCGGGAAATCTTTCTGTCGACGCGAGCCTCACTCGTTTGGGGACACATTCATAGTCGAGCTAGAAGCTTTTTGGGTTGTAAAATGTTTAGTGATGAGTGAAATATTTTTGAATATTTGGTTACTAAAATAATATACATACTGGTATAAAAATTATATACGCTAATGTTATTTATAATGCTACGTACCTAACCAAATACATGATGTATACATTTAAGATTAAGAAGATAAGATTTAAGAGTCTGTGGATCAATGCAAACATTAAATATAAGTACAAAGTGCATTTTTGAAACTACAATACTTGAATGCTATGAAATTTGTCCATACAAGATTCCTATACCCACAACTTAAACCAAAATTACGAAAACCCAACAAGACTACACATACGAGCCTCCACTTTGTTGCTTCGTGATTTGTGTGCCAATTGCGTAAAAGTAAGTCTACTTAAACGTGGCGACAGGCGAAGCCGGGACGCAAAATATATTATATTTTATAATGTCAGCCGTGATACGAACACGAAATACATTAAACGTTATATTTCTTACCTTTTACAACAAAATCGCAAATTGGGCCTTATTGCTCACAAATTATGAACGTAGCTGTATTTATTTACATTATTAGCCAGATCAGTGTTTCGAAGAAGGTTTTAACGCTTAATTTTGTATGTAACAAGGTATATTGGAGAGCCTAATAATGTTTCATTTTATAAAAGTATGTCTTTACACAACTAATATCTATACTAAGGTATACAATTTGTATTTAATTGCTGCGAAAGTAACGACAAAACGTTATAATAATCAAAACAAATAGCTCCAATTCAATGGTAGCTGATTAAGCAAAACGTTTCGAGTCTGAAATCGAAATTAATTCGACAATTAACACAATCTACATTTCGCCACAGCCTATAAAATTATTCGATACAAAGGGAAAATGCTTAGTTTCGCAAAACATTTCGAAACAGAGACGCTAGTCATTAGGAGTAGCTGATGAGGCAGTCAGCAGTACTCGAGGAGTCACAGGGGACTAACAATAAAATTGTACTACAGTTAAATAACAAAAGACTATCATGGAATAGTGTACAAATACGAACAAAACTTTGTTAAGTGTTGACAGGTCATTTGTTCCTTAATATGGTAATTACTACTACTATGTACTTCGTAAGGGATGACGAAGTCTATTCCCGAATCAAAGCTGGGTTTTCCGGTCTTCAAAAGTAATTTACTATACGAAGACTGCAATTGACATAGTGTTACGTGAAATCCAAAAAGTTACTATTTAGTGAAATATGTATGTATTTAAGTTATCTATGATGAATAAATACACCTCTGTTACAAGTTCAGAAGGTATTTAAATACTAGGTATATGACACTGGTATCCACAACCAGTTTCGATAGTAAAGCGTCAAGCTAACATCTTACTCATCATCCCATTAAATCTGCGCACATGCCTCACTCATTATCGATTTCAGTGAACATCCAAAAATGCATCCAAAACACCAACCTACTCTGAACTTTCTGTCACTAATGATAGGGTGTTTTCTTCCACAGCAAGTGTTCGGAGTGCGGTTGCCCCCTATAAGCAAGATCTCCGATGTGCTGAGTGGACAGGGTCCCGCCTTCGAGGCAGCTCTCGCCAAACACCTCTACTCTCCAGTTTCCGTGTACCATACCCGGGTAAGCTCAATTACATAATTATAGTACCGTATCTAAAATTGAGCGCGGTGGCTGGGCAACCCGCTGCCGTGTAACGTATAGCGGCTTCGATTTCCGCACGGATCAACTCTTTGTGCGATCCACAAATTGTTGTTTCGGGTCAGGGTGTAATGCGTATGTGAACTAGTATGTTAAAAAATATGACAATTGAAAATTATTTTATCCGTGAGAGGTAGACTTGTTACACTTACCTACGCCAACCACGTAATCACAAAACATTAACATACACGGTTGCAGTGTACACTATTACACACTTGTATAACGTGTGTGCTAGGTAATAGTATTAGCCATCAATTAAACGTCAGACAAACCATATAATAAGCCATGTTAGTAGTACATCGTGCGGAATATAATCACACATCACATTTGGCATCAGCAGTCAATAAGCGAGTTACTGGTCGTAAACACTAAACACGCGAGCCTGCCAAACCGATTCACATTCAAATCCTGTCTGTGCCAAAACCACGTAATGTATTAAAATCACGAATTTTATTTGCCCTCGTTGAAGTTTGTTGACTTGAAGTTTTTTAAACAATATCGTAGTTATGTATATTTAGCAAGAGACTTATTTAACTTCTCGATTTTTTGATAGTTTTAAATTAAAATAGTCCCTATTACAGAGAAGTGGACTATCTATCCTTTCAACATTTTCGGAAGCAGAGACCCTCGTTGACATATCTACGTATCTTACCTCTATAAGATATCTGCATTGCTACTGCTATTTTACAAGATAAGTCAACTATATTTACATTCAGTAAGTTACAATGAAGTATTATTATTGATTACAGCTAGGGTCACCAACATCATTCGAGGTGCAGGAACCAGCAGCATCGCAGGTGGCGGCCTACCCACAAACATATAAAGGCCAAAAAGCAGACAACGAGAACCAGCAAAGACTGCACCCGCCACAGACAGCAGACTTTCCCAGCGTAGCTCTGTACTCTGTAAAGCAACCAAGAGTTCGTTTTGAATCTTACCCTCCTGCAGACCCTGGATTCCCTCGAGTGCACCCAAACTTACCGCAAGAACTTTACCAACCTCAGACAATTCTCAAGCAACCAATGTCTTCAATATTCCCGATTTACGATCAACTGGGCCCCATCAGATACCAAGGCCACGTGGTCCCATCCCAATATCTTCAGCAGAATAGAATATATCAATTCATCCCCATTAATCCTGCATATAACTACGGTGACTCCGATGATACCCGAGAGAAAGAATTCCCCATTAAAGAAAACAGTCAAGAATTGAAAACAGAAACTACAGAAAGAGCTCAAGTGCAGAACGAAATATCTACACCTAAACAGGTTTGTACAAACATTTATCTTATGTTAAACAAATAGTAATCTACCTGTAAACGTTTAGCTTCTCTATATTAGGATGTACTGAATTTTGTATTCTGCAATGGCGCTGACGTTTTTCTCTTAGGAAAAGAACCCCACTAATAAAATATATATTAAAAAAACAATCACTTACGCAAAGAACCTACTACATTTCTTTCTTTTTTTCTTTCAGGGATACCACGCTCATCCAAATGGTGCTATTAGCTTTGCAAGTTTCTCTCAAAACATACCATTCCACGCGCAGTATGAAACAGTGATGCAGGCTCCACCAAACAATATACATTATACTCAACCTGAAGAAATCGCTTCAGCTCAACTTGGGCAGGTAGCGGTACAACACCAGCCTGTAGCCCTTCAGCAACACCAACATAAATTAGTTCCAATAAAACAACCCAGGTTCCAGTATCCACAAATATTCCATAAAATCATTCAAGAACCACAAAAATATGGCCAACCGGCATATCCACCGATACATCAGTTTATAACCTACAAACAACATATTCCAAATCAGGCAGACGTTGTGAATGAACTTCCACATCATTTAATTTTCCAAAATCCCCGACCGGTAAGTAAAGGTCAAATTATTGAAATACCTGCATTCAAACCGTTACCTCAGTCAGTCCTTACTGCAGAGTCCTATTTTCCACAAACAAGCTCACCGTCGCCTAAAGATTCAGAATCACAACCGTATAATTACGATGAACATTCCACTCCACAACCTACAAACCACATCGACCAACCGATAGCACCGGTATTGCCTCAGCGGCAGCACACACCTTTACCTCCTTTGAAACCTAATTACAACAAGTATGTTAAACCTTTGAAGCCTACTCGTACGACGCCCATATTCTTACCGACAACTTTGCAACCTATTCCAACAACCACTGAGAGCGCACAGCCCTTTACTGACCAATTCGTTTCATCAACAACCGAACAACCTGCGTTTAATAATCAAGATGAGTCTAAAGAAAATATTCTGCAGTTGAAAACTAATTCAGAATCACGAACACCACAGCCGCTAGAATCCGATGAAACTCCTCTGTCTCTGCCAGCGTCAGTTTTACCTCTGACAAGACCAACAACGTACAAGCCACCATTGCACAATGAGTACTCTACACCACAGTCTCAACAGCGACCAACTCAATCAGTAGGGACGCCACCACGACATGATGTAGTAATTCAAAAACAGGAAATTCAAGAATTATTTTTTGATCCCTCTCCCCAACCTTCCAGCACTCCACAATACCCTCTGCAAGAACATGAAGAACACCAACTGCATTCTCAAGTGCACCATCAGATATTCGAACAGTTGCAACCCCCACAATTCCAACAAGAACTTCACGAGACACACTCCCAACAATATCGACACGTACCTCGTCAATCAGGCTCTCCGCAACAACAGTTCGCGTCTCAACAGATACAACCTCAACAATATGTGATCTTGCAACAAGCTTACCCTCTTCAGCGTCATCCGGTTAAGCCCGATCAATTGCAGAGTCAGCAGTCCGCAGAACAGTCGCAACAACAACCGACAATAGAACAGGCTCAGTCCCAACCTGAGCAGTACCAACAACATAACTTAGAACCTAAAAACCAAGACCAAGTAGCCACCACCAATCCTCTTGAAGAATCTAAACAGTCAACAACGTCGACAGAGAATCAACATCAGCCAGATTCTCAAGTCCAACAACAGGCAAAACCACAACTAACAACGGGGAAAACTGAAGAGCAGCCAGGGAAAGTATCACATTCTGGAATCTCGCTACAATCGTACCATGGACCGGTGATATCAAGCATCCAAGCGATGTATGCTCCACCCCAGCAGTACCTGGCTCACCCTGAGTATGGCATGGTGGACGTGCCAGTCTACCCCGACGTGCAATATTTCGGCAAGTTTGCAGAAGCACTATTTGGGAATCTTCAACATTAACGTCGAAATATATTGAAATTCTTAGGTACTCTTGGTAGGTATATTAGACTAGGGTTAAAATTATTGAGAGGAGGCTCGTTGTTTAAGAAATACCAAAAATGACGATTTCAATGTTCTAGAAATTGTATTAAATACTTAATGTCATGAAATGTTGAAGACTTGCGTCTGTAAATATGATATTGTGTGTAGGCTATGTACATAAAAGGTTAGTATTAGTATTGTTACATGTAGGGGAGAATGCTTGACTGTGATGCCATAATGTGTATGTGTGTGTGTCTCAATACACAACTGAGACTCTTATCGCTTTCTTTATTAAAGTTGCGTAAAATCTTTGTCATTGACTTTTATTTCTTTCATTTTTTTAGTTTTCATCGGTTGCATCCAAAATAACGGTGGTAACTCAATATTTCCCACAAAGATTCGCTGAAATATACTACAAATTTCATTGTACTAGAAAACAAACAAATATTGAGCCTAATATCTACTCTTATATAAAAATGTAATTATAGAACACATAGGTTTTGATGATCATAATCTAGTTAAGATTATGCTTGCAAGAGACCGAACATTAAACCTTAACTAATAGCATTCACGACCAAGTATATTAGCCACTTTCATATAATACGAAATATTCCACGAAAAAAGTTAAAAATAATCCCTTATAGCTAGAAGGTTGGGTTATTCAGATACCTACTTAAAAAGTTAAGTCATAAATACCAGACAACAGCACCTCATCTCCTTCGCTTGTTATCTGGCTCCTGCCAGACTTCACCTGCCTCAAACCGAGTTATCGCGTGATTTATTTGTATTAAACTACTTGAAATATAGCTCAATTCCAGAAAACTTTTACTTTTTTAGATTCGTAAAAAATAAAGACAGTTTTTTACGAGGGTGGGTAATGAAAAAGCCGACGAAGGTTCTGATAAAATAAGTTTTACTTCTACAATATCCAAGAAATGTACAACAAGTATTATACTACAATTCTATTTTACGTTCTTCGTGATCCCGCTGTGAGAAAACTGTGCAACTGTGAAAACTCAAAAACTACTCAACGAATTCTCATGCGATTTTGATCATAGATTCTTGAAAATTAGCGTGTTGGAGAGTGTTGGACGGGTAGAAAGGTATCATAACTTAAAGAAGATATATCTCATAAACAAAAAACTTTTTAATTTACCTAACCTAACCTTTCAAAGGTAATAAATATGTCCCAAACCACATGAAAGTGCCCCGGTATATTTTAGTCTCCTAAACATTTACAGATTTGGTTTCACATATCCATTAAGCACAGTTCATTCATCATTGAGATATACCTCTATAAGAGGAATAAATTGAAAAAGGTTGACGGTAGCCCAACAATTAACTTGAACGTTACAAGATAAAAGCTTTTGATTCATTCCCGGGTAATTAGGAAAACCAACATCTGTATACACCTGTAAATAGGCACTTACGTAGATTATTTCAATATCAGATTATGTTTACATACCAATGGACAACACGGTTGGTGCCGTCCCGCTGCCGCGCAACGTGTCGCGGGTTCGATTACCGCATAGAGCAACTCTTTGTGTAATCCACAAATTGTTGTTCCGTGTGTAGGTCTCATGTGTACACGGCACAGGAGAAAATCCTATTGTAGGGCAACGTTTATTTAAAGAAAGAAAAATACTCAATTCAATTCCAAATTAATTTAAAACGACCTTGAGTTGTAAAAAGTTTTAAAGTATCTTTCATAGATATATGAAAGAAGAAAAATCCAAAAAATGCTGAACTATTTGCTCATGATATTTCTACTAAATCCGAAGTACTTAAGTAAATAATGCTAATCATTAGCTTGTCGTATTAATACTCTCCCGTCATTAACAGTCAGTTCTGTGTGTGTGTCCAACTGATGTCATTCTCTATAACTGCCAACAACTGGCGACTGCTGCGCGCACCAGTGAACTCATATCCGGAGTCTTTGTGTTTCTCATAAACTGCTATAAAGGGTTCGTTAATACTTTCATTAATGTTTTGTTAAGAATCAAAAGAGGGCTTAACGATTCAACATTGAAATGAGTAGGACTTTAAGACAGTCGTTTCCTTATTCCATTACCTTTTCTTTTAACTACTAGACCATTATTGTCGTCATTCCCATCATGACATGCCTTCCAAGAGTAAGACACATTCAATCTGCAGCACTGATCCAATATCAGCTTCTAGACCATAACATAATACGGAAAAATATTTAATAAGCGCAATATCGTATAATCACTCCCCATACAACAGTCACCACATAATCGGTAAAAATGAAACGATAACGATGAATAAAAAACAACGACTTAACATAACGTTATCTTAATGTAGAACAAAAGATAACTAGCTGTGGAAATGTTGAGAATCCCACACCTCGCGGTCTGAGGGCCTAAACGAGAAACTGAGAGAGGGAACGTGGTCGAAACTTTACAGCGTTTAGCCCTCTGATTGGTTGGTCAATTTGAGCTGGCCAATCAGAACGCCGTATACCATAAATGTGTCGATGAAAATAAACTTTCACTAGGCCTCCTAAAGCAGTAGATATAATCGTTACGGTTGATCCAAAGCGAGATTGCGAGGGAAACATCTTTTAATGTTCCAGAATTTTTTTTCATCTTTATTCCCGAACCGGGAGTTCCGTAATTTGCGCGTGACGCTTTACTCTTTGTACTTTGTACATCAAAGAGTTCTGGCAACTGTCATGTACGCTACTTGAATTAATGTGCTTCTTATTTAAAATATTTATAGGAAAAGTATAATGTCAAGATTACTTTTATTTAACGAGGTGTTTTTAATAAAAAGACAACAATTTGTGGATCTTGATAAAAGGACTCTTAACTCGTTATTTACCAACTAAACACGTCAAAATTTAACTGAAAAAAGTAATCAAATAAAAAATATCGCAATATTACTAACAGACGATTTGCTAACAAAATAATTTACCTACTCTCTAGTCTCAACGCCTGATATAAATGTAATGGCAACTCCATTGAACAAACATATTCATTTGGATGGCATAACTTCAACTCAGTATGTAAAATAAATAATAATTTTCCAGAATACGAAAGTATGAAGTTCTTAATCTTTGGAGTTCGTAAAGATCTTCACCTATAGTTTTTTCAATTGTACAAGAGTAGAAGTAACTTTTCGATGCTAAGCAAGGATGTTAAACGTACCTCGTAACATTAAACGAGCAAAACTCGGTGCTACTCAGTAATAGTCTCCTTCGCAGTATAACACGTGATGTGTCTATTACTGTATATGTCATACATATATGTCAGGTACCACTATTAAACCACATGATGACACTCATCCTGAAAATATTTCACTAAATTTTCATGTCATTTTGACGTAATCACCTAATGCTGCGTATAATAATTACGGTGTAGATGGTAATGATGCTGAAAATACCTGAAAGCACCTGAAAATGTTGGTAACAGGCTGGTAATGAGCCGACCGAGGCGTATTGTGTGTAATTCGGGGAGGAACGCCTAAATTGTAACTCATTACTTTATATTTCCTATTATTTGTTTGAGGGGTGAAGATGTTGGAGTTTTTGTTAAAGAGCTGTGGTAATGTGGCCTGCACTCAGCAGCCTCATTGGTATAATGGTTGCAAATGCCACAGATAAATATGAGTTCTATTTTTAAACCAGCCATTTTTGTAGAATCTCTCCCTTTACAGCGTTGACTATATACATATATTTATAATCTAAACTGTAATTAGACACTACTTAGAAATGATGTTGCTTATGTTCTAGGATTGTACTTATTTTTATACCTATTATAAAAAATGAAATTCTTCAATTTAAACACCAAGGCCCTCTAAGCCTTGAACTTAAAATTCTATTAATAAACCAAAAGGATCCGTTCAGTTGACAGGAAGTTACAACAGAGGAACGTTACGGAATAGACATTAAGACACAAATCCCTATTGGATATCGGAAATCAGAGCCATTATGATGTCAGACAAAAGATCGCTTTATGGCCTGGTTTTGGCCTTGTGATATGGGAGGCCTGACAAAGGGCCTGAGTACACAACCTCTCCAGAGGACTGAATATGCAATGTGTGCCTTCGGCCCTCCCATTATTGTTAGGCCTGTTTGACGAGGGCACATCACTTATTAAATAGTTATATTTTAGGAAAAATGGAAGTTTATTCTATGAGTTGGGACTATGTATGAATTTTAAAAGGTGAGTAATTTATTTTAATCACACTATAAAAGCTACTGAATACCATTGTAAGTTTTTTTTAATTAAGCAAGAATTAAGTATCGTAGTTTGACACACTACACTATTGTTATACTGCTTCATCCAGTCAGCCATTTAATCAAAGAAAACCTAAGTTAAAATTTTCCCACAATTTATATTATATCATTTTACAACAAGCTGTCATCGCAATAAACAAAGTTTGACAGTTGTCCAACAAATATCTCTCGGTGAAAAATGTTAGTCGTAAAATGCAAGAAGATAATAATATGAAAAACTTCTCAATATTCACATCAAGCTATACAAAACCAGTTTATCAAGGTCTCACACTGCATTATATTTCCACACATTAAATGGTTTCGTTATACTGGATGGATAGCTTCATGTGCTACCGTGTGCACAACAGTCACCTTGAGCAGAACTTTATGTAGAAGAAACAGACCACGCTTACTTGCCTACATCATTTGCCGTTTACATCTGTAGAATCACTCTTGAAAGAAACTCGAGATTTTATATCTAACATTACAAGAGTGTTTATAGTCTTTTTGACAAAAGTTCACACGCCTTGCTTTATGAATACTTGAGGATAGTAACTTGTATACCACGGGGACTTGATGATATGAATAAAAGTAGGCATCGTTCCTTTTTGCTCTAGGCTGGTAATAAAACTAAATGTGGATGCTTAGATTTCTTTGAACGAGATTTAGTGATGTTTACATTAAAGAAAACAACAACAATGACATTACATTTGACGCCATGTCGGGTCGCTTGTACTAACTAAATATAAATTAACCGCATTCGTTTAAGCAAAATACAATTAAAAAATCAACCAACACCTCTATGTTTTATAAATACAAATTAATTTTTGTATGCAGGTCCAACGTCGACCACTCTCCCTGAATTAATCAGCTGACTGCATCAGTGAGTGCTAATTTTGCGCACAAACATGATAATATGCAGAGCTGTGGAATGCAATAAACACGTTTTTAGAGGCTCACTGCCCACTGCTACAACTGATGAATACCTCAACAAATTCTGCAATTCACTTTAATGCATAGATATTTTTTACCTCTACTTTAGTAAGAACACCTAACTTTATTTTAACTTAAAATTCACTCGCCAAAATTAATTCAAATGTAACCATTACTTTTAGACCAAAAGCTATGCAAATCAGGCAAAAAATAAAAAGCCTCAAAATCCACAACACACTATTAAAATACATAAATACATGTAAATACAAAGTGTCTGCAATAAATACCATAAAGAGAGCTAGATCCAGTTTAAAGCTAATCTCGGACTTAAGGCCTAGTCTATCCGAGGCGACCTTGCCCAAATTGGAGGCAAAGAAAGTCAAATAGAACGGCATGAGGTCTGAGACAAAAGAATAAGGTCGCTCGCCGCCGCCCGCGCCGCCCTGGGGGAGGCCGACTATTTACATACGCAGAGTAATTCACACTCACTTTGCTCTAGTTGCAATGTCGTTGATTGGTGCATCGTAACCTTTGATCCTCTTGACTGACTAATTTAGTATCCTTGAAGAGTAAGATACTACCAACATTACTCGTAAATAACTAGAGCTCAAACGTCTTAATGCTGTCGTATCTAAAACATAATTCATTTATCGAAGCAAGCCTCTTGGAGATCACGAAGCAGTAATTTCTTACTACGTTTTCTGGTCAGTTAATTACTGCAAAAATTTTCATCGAAATGACGCATGTCACGTAAGCTAAGGCTGGAATGAAAATAAAAAAAGAAAAAAAAGTACCTATGTTAGCTATGATCTATACATACGAGAATTCATTATGAACCTCATACCTCGCTCCATGTAATCCCACGTCAGCTCTCTAATAAAATTCAGCCTCATCCCATTTTTCACCCACTCCGACATCATTATGTAAAAATCGGACACAGCTGTAATCTGCTTAAATTTTTCGCGGACGTATATTTTCAATTCCACGATGATTGGACTGTGATTCTATTTTACATACTGAATAAATGACTTTTAAATATTCGGTGGGAACATGAGGCTTGTGATTTTTGCGAATTTTAAAGGGTGAATGAGGGTATTAAGGCAGATAATCTGGATGCCACGGGTGATGTGGCTGTGTATTTTAAAAGGTTTGCTTATGAGGTCGAGCGGTGACAATTCTGACTGCCAAATATATACACAAAATAAACATTATGCAGTCATGAAAATCTTAGCTATCAATGTTCGTGAAATTTGAACCGTCTCAATAAATAAATTGAAAATAACGGCTTACTTGTGTGAAGTAACTGAGAAAGGCTCTACCAGTTTCAAGTCACAACGGAGCTTACTAGGCTTAACAAGTAAAAGTAAGTGTTAAGTACTTCTAAGTGTAGAAAACACACAGAACCAGAGATATTCGGTCTGGTAACCTATACAGCAAGTCTGTTAACCACGCATAGAAAGCATTGAACTGCTTCATTGGCCGAGTGGTCGCAAGTGCGATTGTCGGGCAATGGTTCTCGGGTTTGATTCCCGGGTCGGGCAAAGTATTACTGATAAAAAAACTCTGTAATGGCACGGTGTCTGGAAATGTGCGGTATATAGCAAAAGACTAATGGGACTCATAACATAAATGGTGAAAACAGGGTGTTACATTTTACAGTGGCATTAAGTGCCGTAATGTGCACAGTGGTGTTAGGTTATCTTTAGCAAACTTCCTCAAAACAAAAAAATAACCACAGGCATACTTGAGACTGTCATTAAAAAACCACTTCCGAATGATCCAAGGTCACGGCCTGGCTGCACGTGCTGGCCAAATATTTGCACACTTCTTGATCAAATTAATGACATAAGTAAATGAAGTAGGTGATCATCACTCACAACCGCAGCGCTGCTGATCAGCGGCTGCATAGATTAAGGTCGACTACAATCACAGCAATACTTGTGATACCAGTATGTGGGACGTTAAACTATACCAATTTTGATCTTAATACATTCGTATTATTATGTTTATTTTAATACTTTGATTTTTGGTGATTTAATGGTGGGGTATATAGCTGTTAAGTCGGATAGTAATCGCAATGTGTGGTAGGCCATCTTTTAAATAGCAAGTCCAACATTCAGTCCTGTTCGTCTTATGAAATTACGATAGTAAGTTGACCGAGAGAATTGTACATGAAAACAAAAATGACAAGCAGAATATAAAAAAGTTCGTTTAATTTACTCAAACGGAATAATTCTTTAATTTCCGTCCCCCAAACATTAAGCTTCAAGCACCACTGCGCTAAATATGAAAAATATATTCACACATTAAGTTATGTGCACAGAACATAAAGATTATGTGTATTTTTTTTAAGGGGGGAAAATCATCGAATTACTGCTCCCACCTGGGTGAAGTGGGAGGGAGTGTCAGACTCTTACTGACTAAAAACCACCCCGTTCCTTCTCCTGCACGTCGAGCCGGAGCCCCGGTTACCCGTTAGGTTCTCCGCGACGTGTATAGAATACTATCCGGGGACGTGGAACCCATCATTTTTCGAGGGTTTAATTCCCGAATGGTTAATGAAAAACCTCAGCAGTAACTTAAAGTACCAGAATGATTTCTGTAAAACTGTGAACCAATAAACTATCACTTTAATTAAAACAAAAAAAAAATATTTATTTCATCTAAAATGTGTACCTCTGCCTACCCCTTCGTAGAGTAAAAGACGTGATTTTACTTATATAGGCACTAGGCAGTCTCGAACTGGGCAAAAAAATCACGTAAATCCTAATGCATTTCCCGGGTACAACGAATTCGGTGGCGGACTGGGCATCAATCATGGATGCCCAGCTGAATACTAAATAACGGGCATGCCTACCTGGGCAAACAGGTTTTATTGTCGGGGGATAGGCACGGGACTGATTGCTGGGGAGGTGGCCGGGGGCAGGTTTAATTGTAGACAGGAGATGTTTTATAGTGCTACCATGTTATATGCATTTACGCAGTTATGTTATTATGCAGTTATGTTATTTACATTGCCATTTTTATCTTTTTATGGTACCTACAAACTGACAAACGAGCAGACAGATCACCTGATGAGCAATCGGCGCCGTACATGGACACCCGAAATACCAAAGGCGTTACAATTGCGTTGCTATCTTTTTGGGGATTAGGAATTTGAATATTGCTGGGGATTCGGGGAAAAGGGAGATTGGAAAGGTGGGTAATTGGGCCACTGGTAACCTAACTCACACGACGAAACATAACGCAATCGTTATTCCACGTCGGTTTTCTGCTCGGCCGTGGTATCACTGCGATAGAGACGACCTATTCGTGTCGCATAAATTAAGCTTTTAAATTAAAAAACGTTTTCCAAACTAGAATTTTCTTTTGTCTAATCGTCACACACCACATTCTGATCCGAAACAACATTCTAGATTGAAACAATTATTACTTACATTGGGGAATTGTAGTCACTCAGCCATTGGGCTAACCACACAATTGAACATTATTACGTCTCAACACTTCCTGGTGTGTTTGGGATGCATATAGTATATTTATTACTGAAAAAGTCTTTATAAAACTCACACACATACCTAAAAAAATCACGTTTATGACTTAATTAAAACACTTTTGTCGAATTTTCCTCTCTCAGGACCCGTATAAGGATATTGTGTAGCCTGCCACACAATATGCGCGCACGCACAGTGGCATATATTCGATGGCGTCAAGGAGATGCTATGGTGTGGTGTCGTTTACCTGTTACGTTTCAAGCATGCAACTGAGGTGTAGGCCATAAAATCGGCGATGATACTAGAAAACTGATGATGTACTAGAAATAACCCAGTTATACTTTGTTCGCCTCCGGAATGAGACCCCATAGTCGGCAGACACGACCAGATACAAGCTTGTGTGCACTTGACCGATGACACAATCTTTAGGCATATTATTAAGATATTAATATATTATATTACAGTACTAGCTACTTCCGCGCGGTTTCACACGCTCTGCTCAGCTCCTATTGGTCGTAGCGTGATGTTGTATAGCCTATAGCCATCCTCGATAAATGCGCTATCCAACACAAAAATACAATTATTCAAATCAGGCTTGTAGTTACGGAGGAAGCGCGTTCAAACAAACAAACATATATATATAATAGTATAAGATAACTTAATGGCGTAAGCTGTAGTGTTATAATTATGTGTAAATTTTGTAAATGAATAAATACATTTTTTTCGATATGTATTACGGCAAAAAAAAATTGCCTAAAGATTAATAATCCTTTACTCGGCTAACGAAGCAAACCTTTTACCATTTTCTCCATATCAACGTACACTTCAAAACTGTTTTAAAAAGTGAAACAGTTTTAATCATCAAGTCAACTTTTACTCGTATTTTATCGCTGGTTTAATGGCCCCGTCGCTCGCTCCGTCCCCCTGAGTGGGCAGCGCGATGCAGTGTACTGATACCTGTTGACCTGGCTAGTCTCACACACGTAGTGAGGGGATATAGTATAGTAGTAAATAAAAAAAACTTCGTAATTTATTAAGTGATTGGTTTTTTTGGAAAGTGCTTTTTTGAAAGGTAAGTTTGTGGTGTTTTTTATTTTATTTTTTTGATTTTCTTATATCTATTGTTTTTGTAATTAAAAATACGAAAGTCATGATCGTTAATTACTAGTTTTTGAACAATGTTTTCTTTAAAAAAAGTTTTTGTTAACGTCAATTTGTTAGTACCAATTAGTTATTCGTTCACTCGTACAATTGATAAGAAAATACATATAAACAGTAGTAAACAAAACCTCTAACGATTTACTAACAGCAACAGGTGATAGTAATATAAACAATGCAACATTGCCTTAGTATTTTTCAATCATCTTTTGGTACCATCCCCATATCTTATTCATTCACCCCCTATGTCATAGAACTCATAACAAAATTAGTGTACAGTGAGTATTACAATTTACTTCTACTTATCCCGTCAGAGATCAAAATACGTTAGATTTTTCGTTCCATTTTCCGAAACTTCTTGATAAGTTAAACACTTGAACTCCATGTTAATACTATTGAGTTGAATGTGGATTCTGGAAATATGCCTCGTATACAAAGTGGAAACCGAACGTTCCCGAAACGCTGACGAAAAGAAATGGTTTTTATACAATTATAATCGTTTTTGTTTAATTGTGTTATTGATGCAACGTCAACTTTGAGCAGTTAATTACATTTAATTCCTTACTATTATGGAAAAAAACTTAATCTATATAAATAAAAATGAATTGCTGTTCGTTAGTCTCACTAAAACTCGAGAATAGCTGAACCGATTTGGCTAATTTTGGTCTTAAAATGATCGTGGAAGTCCAGGGAAGGTTTAAAGGTGAGAAAAAACATTTATAGGCGGTACGAAGTTTGCCGGGCCAGCTAGTTTTTAATATTTTTCGGAAGCCTCCCGTTTAAACCCTGTATTAATTTGGGAATAGGCTCGTCCTCATTACAAGAAATTCGTAAAACAGCAAGCAACACCCACTATCCCTTTTCCAAAGAATGAAAGCTTATTTAAGATGTATCAATACAAAAATGCAATGTATAATATGAACTTACATCACAATAAACAATGACAGCATTCACTTCGTATTGTAACATTACCAAAGCAAAGCTCTAAGTTGCCTAACTTAACTGTATCAGTACAAGTTTCAGTTAAGCAATAACTACTTGTATTTGACTATCACTCGGCACTCAGTTACCTTGGTTACTTAGCGCCCTGTATGTGTTCTTGTCACTTTAACTTACCAAAAAATATACACAACACAACAAAACAAATTCAATTGTTACATGTAATAGGAGGTGAGTCTTTAGTCATGCATCATTTTAATTCAGGGAAGACGGTAGTACAGTGGTCACGTGCAAAGCGATGATCAAGGGACTCGCACATATCCCTAGGGATGTGCCTTAGCAGGCGTTGCACCGTGGGGGCTCCAGAGCAGGTTTCTGTTAGAGGACCCGGTGCTCCTACAGGTGCTGACGGTGGGCCATCGAGGTGGTATTAGTGGTCTCTCCCCGTCATCAAAAAAAAGTGATCATTTTTTAAACACCTTCTTAACATCATTGTTTTAAATAGCATTGTTAGTGCGACTATAGATGCAGCTTACTTATGATTGCCTAGTACATCCCTACATATCCAGGCTGGTAAAAGTTACTGAAGCTTCCAAATTAGAGCTTAAATTTGATCGTTTTCAGTAACAAGGTTGTAAAGTATGTATATAGATACTGCACTAATTATAGGTCGAAGTTTGACATACTCTGTTTATTTTGTCGCTTAGTTTCGATATCAAAGCGAATCGTAAATCAACAAACCACAGTTTGATAATCAACTCAAATGTCGAGCGACACAAATCAATAGGATTCGAATAGTACAGAGTACGGTTCCGGTAATTGGGACTCTATTTCAGGCTCAAAAGCCATCATTGCACAGTTTCAGCAAGGTTCACTCATTACTGCGATTTGAGAGATAAACCACTTTTTTTTTAAATTGGTTTCCATATACCTCTAATGTAACTTGAAATGTTCAGTTTTATGAGAACGACGTACGAAGCTGTTATCAGAATCATTATCAATATTACCTATCATCAGAGGAATAGGTGGGAGATGTCGTAAAACTCCAAGCTAATGGACACTTTCTTCTAGGGTACTTTTTGTGAAGATTCCGAACCAAGAAAATATTGTTCAGTAACGGTCAGCAAAAAGTTTTGTTGTCCAGCTATCAAATAAAGTAAATTTCTGTAATTCAACAATAGGTATCATCAACAGCCTATAAATGACCACTGCTGAGCAAAGCCTTTTCCCACACGGAGAAGGTTTGAACATTAATCACCACGCTTGCTCAATGCGGGTTGGTCATTTCAAACTTATAATTAGAAATTATAAGCCCAGGTTTCCTCACGATATTTTCCTTCACCGTTTGTCAGTGGTGTCTGAATAATCTCAGAAAGTACATATAACTCGGAAAAAGTTACATTGGTACTTGCCGTTGGTAGGTTTCAAAACCTCATGCATGAGAAGTGGGCGTCTTAAACCTCTAGGTCACCACGATGCCTCAAACGACATCTCACGAAACAAGTCGGTTTTAATTTGTGTTGGTATACATTTTTTGGTTTACATCTCTACTTGTCTTTGTATTCTAAAACAACTTTTTAAAGACGCTTAGTTCTCATTTGACTTACTACATTCATAGAAGTTACGGAATCTCATCGCTAAAACTTCCATAGATAGGCAAAGATTGTACAACAACGACACCACTGTTTATTAAGAATCACACTAATATTATAAACGTGAAAGTTTCTTTGTTTGGATGTATGTCCATCAATATCGCTACAAATACTGAACGGATTTTGATGTAATTAGGTATACAAGCAAGGTATGGGCGGACTTAGGTGATAGGATACTTTTATCCCAATTAAACACTCCTATGGGATAAACCAGGAATTATATTCTACGCGGACGAAGTCGCGGGCAAAAGCTAAAGTTCCTTAATAAAATACGTTAGCATCATTGTAGTAATCATCAATATCAGCCATATACGACCTATACAATGTCATTGACAGAATCATTTCTCAAGTTCCATAAAAGCACTACTAAATCGCCACATATATAGGTATTTCGATTCAAAAGTGTAGACAAAAACACCTTATAAAGTCGTCATCAATGAATAACATTAATAAAAACATGCATCTAAGCCTTCTCTACAAGGATCATTGATTTTGTCTCTCTTGACCTACACCTCAATAAAATATATCTACATCAACAGATATGTTTAGATATCTAAATATTTACATTTGCATACACCACTTATTATACGACATCCAACTGATGAAAGTTAGAGGTATAATGGCCATAATAAATAATTATATTTGTTATTCTATTTATATTTATAGTAATTAATCTGTGTATTTTAATGGCGTTGGTCTAATAAAGGCAAGCGCGAGTGAACATGTGAAGCGGCCATTATATTCTTAGGATTCAGTATTATAGGTAATAGACTCACCCTCGACTTAATAGAACTCATAACTGCAGAAAGTTATCAAAAACTGGTATGACAAGAACACGAACCAAAAGTCCGTGGATAACTAAAATTAATATTGAAAAAATAAACAAAAATGGTGTATTCATTATGCAGCAAAAAAAGCACATGCTTTTTTGACCATTCCTTCAGGAAATAAAAGACCGATATATTACTAAATCACCTGGGAATCGAACACTTTTTTTTTTTTTTTTTTTTTTAAGGGGGGAAAATCATCGAATGACTGCCCCCGCCTGGGTGAGGCGGGAGGGAGTGTCAGACTCTTACTGACTAAAAACCACCCCGTTCCTTCTCCTGCACGTCGAGCCGGAGCCCCGGTTACCCGTTAGGTTCTCCGCGACTCCGAATCGGCATCGGCCCTATTGGGCCCCATCTGTGGTGGTCTGATGGCTCTTTGAGGCGCGCGCGGAACGCGACGCGCCGTACGCTCGGGTCTGTTTCTGGTCGGACGGGGAGCCACCCATGCTCGCCGTCCGCAGGCCCGCGCTTACGGTGGCCGGAGATCGTCCCGCGATCCCCGACGCCCGGTGTGTCCTTCGCGATGGCTGGGTTGCGAGGAGGCAGCGCTTCGCTGCCTCACGCGTCCCGCCTCCTCCTTAGCTAGCATGACTGCTTCGCAAAAGGAGGAGACGGCATCCCAATCCCCCTCGCTCCGCATCATGGCCTGCACTAGGCCCGGACGCGAGAGGTCGCCATCGCCGATCACTTCCCTGAGGACACGGCGGTGCTCAGCCCACGAAGGGCATTCTCCCACCGTGTGTTCCACCGTGTCCTCAGGGCGGTCCTCGCAGTGATGACACCCGGGCGTTTCCTCCCGCCCCATCAGACACAGGTACCTCCCGAAACTTCCATGTCCGGTGAGGACCTGCGTCAGGCGGTAGGTGAGGACGCCGTAGCGTCTCTCAAGCCACTCCTCAAAGAGGGGACTTACCGCTGCGATGGCAGCGAGCCCAGCCCTCGGTTGCGACAGTCGTTGCTGCCATTCCGCCATGAGATCGCGCCGGAGCTCATCCCGCCACGCACTTATCTGGCGCGGCAGCGGAGTTTCGCCCCGGCGACGTGCCTCCGCGCGCATGCTGTGCACGCGCGCGAGCACCTTCGCCTCCAGATCCCACGGCGGTAATCCGGCAAGGAGGTTCGCCGACTCCCCAGAGATCGTGCGGTATCCGCGGATCATTCGGATCGCCATGACCCTCTGTGCCATGAGCAGCGTCCGAGCGGGACGCCGCAACAGGTTAGGCGCCCAAACAGGGGCGCCGTAGAGGGCCATGGACCGCACGACCCCGGCGTATAACCTCCGGCAGGAGGCGTTTGGCCCCCCGAGCACTAGACTTCTTAAACAAACGTGATTCGACAAATAAGGCAACTAAACTAATTCTATTTATTATAGAGCTCCAATAACGGATGCGGAAGAGTCTAAAATGTCGAACATGACCTTAGACATATTTTATGTAAATATAGTCTGTGGTCTAATTACACGACTGAAGGTGGAGGTTACCGCCTGTTATTAC